GATGATTGGGAAGGGGATGAGATGATTGGGAAGGGGATTGGATGGATAGGGAAGGAAATGGGATGTTTGGGAAGGAAATGGGATGATTGTGAAGGGAATGGGATGACCTCGGTTTTATCACAGYCMCCCATTGCGTGATATAGGGTCTTGRGATCGAGGTTAGCTAGGCATTCAAACCTTCAAATGGTCAAATTATTTTTTTACTGTACTTTTAATAAATTCAAGGTACTGAATAACACAGGGAACCCAAGGGGTTTTGCGCATTTCGTTTCAGTTATATATACACATCGAATTCTTTCCATAACTGAATTACTTTGCAAGTCGACATACTATTTCTATTATCTAAACTACTAAGAAGGAATGCTTTCCATGAATTTTCTATTGTCTAAACTACTAAGAAGGACTTTYATATCYGAACACAGACGACCAAAAAGGTTCGCGTACAAAMGTTTGCATCCCATTTCGTGCAATAACTAAAATACAACCCATTGTTCACAGGCAGACATTGTTGTTTAAATCATTTCATAACACAAATTTAGATGATTGTCCAATAATGAAAAATGCACCCGCGAAGCTTGGTTATTATGTGAAAGAGAKTTGCCTTGTAGTGCAATAATTGATCCCTTAGACAGCTCAAACAGCTTTATTTCCGATTGCTTTGAATATTGTACTTTTGAAATTAAATCCCACACATGTTTGTTTAAAGATTTTTTTATGTTTAGATATCCTAGAAAACAAATATAATCCCACACTCTTTGAGTGTGCAGCAGCGTTGAGTAATACAGGMACTGTTTGGCCTTGAGACTTGGGAAGACAATATCAACAGAAATAGGCGATGTTTTTTTAATACAGAGCCCAGTGGAAAAACAACGGCAACCAAAACCAATTAAAGTGATTCTGGAATTGCCTAATATTCTAACAATATGAGCAAAACTATGAGACCCCTACTATCGTCTGGAGAATTGTTTACCGATTGCGCTCCTTATATACATGAACTATTCAAACCGAGGTGGGATTTGCTTCATTCCCTCTCAACTGGTYTCTCTGCTGTCATACTATAGGAGTKCTCTTTCTTCTAGATTACATTTCCCCTGATTTTGTTTAAAGCTTCTTAAAGCCCGCGAGCCTATTTGATTTGTTGAAGAAACCTGCCGCACTGGGCAGAGAAAGCCCCAAGGTAAGCAAGATGTTGAAGAATTTATGCTCGTCTATTGTARTAGATTTTTCAAGACAAATTAAGGTCGTGTTTTGGTTAAAAAACATCTTTTTGATCAACCCAATTTGTTGAGGTTAATTGAACAGAGACACCTAATTTATTTTGGTTAATTTTATCGGTTAAGTTTCATCGTTTTTTTACCAGTTCTTAACCAAATATTTATCCACAGTCTTCAAGTGAAATGCGTTTTCAGTGAAGTATCATTTCCATCAAAATTTTCAAGTTCAAAACTAACATTTTTTCTACACCGAGGCCCTGGATATTTATYGCTCGCCCTCAGGGTCTTCATGGTGAAAATTGCCAAGGCAGCCATTTTGTTGCGGCTGATTGATTCTTCGCTGCTRCAAAACCAATAGCACCGAAGAAAATTCTAAACAGAAATCATTTTGGTCTGTATTGGGTATTTTTCTGTTCATGATTTTTTTAAGCGACTTTTATGTAAGCTGATTTGTGGTCAAAGCGAAAGTTTAACCAGTCACTATGATCAAAAAAACCTAATTACCCACAAATGCATGTTTTTTAGTAGCGGGAACAAGCTTTTTTTAGTGCTTTTTCCTTAAAGGATTTTATCAAACTTAAGCCAAGTTGCCATAAGGTTAGGTTTTCAGTCCCCACTGTTTTCCTTGTTTCTGCTGTTGGGTTTTGGATTATACTGCAATCTGAAGAGCATTCAGACTTAAGCCTGGCTTTTTTTAAGTCTGACTCAGTTTCACGGTTGCTAACTACGCAAGCGTCATGACACAAGACATTATTCATACACTGCCGCTCCACGACGTGTGTACAGTTACCAGTCTAATGTATGGACAGCGGTATGTAGGCGACGGAATAGTCGTATAATTACAGAATAACCATATTGTGTCTTTGTTGCTGATTAGTAAGAAATTCGTGTGGTAGAAGTGAGACAGAAAAAAAAAACGTCGTTAATTAGAATAACAAAGAGTGATTCATAGTCAACTTAAAATGTCTGGTAACTGTACTCGGGCTAAGRACTCGATAAACCTTAAATCTTTTTAGATCTGCATCGATATTGTGTAATATGTTGTACGATATGGCTAAGAAAAAGACAGATATTGGCCATAGATTGTACAAAAATTTGTGAACATTTTACACACATTAGTATGATTAAAAATGAAGCGCGATTAAGAGCAAAAAAAGTTTCATTAGAATTAAGGATTCGGTTTACTTCAAGATAAAATCACAAGCTGATATGGTAAGACTAAATCCCTTGTTATTCATGAGGCTCTGTTCGGTGTATTATCATCCCTTTAGACTGGTTGTGTTACACCTTAACTAGTTTTGAAAGCACAGAAATGGGGTGTTGTTACACCTTAACTAGTTTTGAAAGCACAGAAATGGAGTGTTGTTACACCTTAACTTTTGAAAGCACAGAAATGGGGCGTAGAATATCAATTTGATTATTTCCATGTTTCTATGAACCTAATTTCTTAGTTAATCATAATCATAGCCCAGTCTACCGTTCACTACTTCACTGCATCATTTGTTGTCAACACTCGCTGATACAAGACAAAATCATGTTACCATGGTTACCAGTCATCATTGGCATCATAGTATTTAATCATTATCATATGTCAATCATTGATCATCTCTTATAACGAGTGATTGTAGGCATTATACTTGTGCCCAAGTTACTAGTATCAAACTGTAGTTTCTAATTGGAAATTTCTTTTGTCGACACTTTTTTCATCTTTAATTAAATTACTCAGTTTTTCCTGATGCTTCAAAGTCAAATCCATTTTTTCCGCAAATCGAGACATCGATTGGACTGGACGGGATTATCGTTCAGACCGGACGTTTAAGACTAGTTTACAATTCTTCCTAGACATCTGTCATCTTTTAACCTGATGTACTCAAGAGATATACATTCTGTAATACAAAATCATCTCTGTATTCTGAAACAAGCCTAGCTAAAAGCCTTACTAATTGTAGTCAATTTGGCGCGTGATTCTTAAAAGCCTGTAAAGGTGCACTTCCTTGCCAAATATGGAAAGTGTTTTTATATAGAGGAAAAACTTGTACTTTCTTTCTTTCAAAGGACATCTGTTTAGGCAAGGCTCACATTCGCAAGAAATGTGTGATAATATTTGGCTGGTATTGGATATTTTCCCTAGAATATCGTCAACTACTAAAATATTGACTCACAACATTTTTCTTTGATAGCAACCGGCAATGATTTCAAAACAGCCAATATTCGCATCGATTAACAGCAATGTAAAGGYAAAATCTCCACACAACAAAGACCATTACCACTGGAAACTTTAATTGCTACGACGAACCTTTAAAAATTGAAGAGTGAACTCCAAAATGATTTAATTTAGAATAGTGCTTGGTGGATTGACAGCATGGTGCCAATTACTCAGTTACAATCTTCTTTCCGATTCGTTCAAGTAGTGTCCAGAAATGCCAAGCTTGTTTTCGTATTTTTTCAACGCACTAGAGACAGAAAGAGAGAGAAACGTTTGATAAGCGAGTTTTGAGCGATGTTATCACCATAGCAGGGTAGTTGCTTGTAGCACATGTGGCTCAGTGTCTCCCCAAACCACATAACCGTTGTCAGATCATCATTTTCTCTATTGTTTTTCAAGAAGTCAGAACAGCTGGCGAACAATTTCAGTTAGAGCTGTTTTAACCAATCAGTACACGTTTTAAGATATGCCAATCCCAAACGAGCCAATCAGCAAAGAGGGAGTCAGTTCCAATTACATGTGCTTGCGATACATATTCACCTATGATCGTCAGCAAGCAAACGAACAGCGTATTTGATTGTAATTATGGGAATAATTTTGCAGTAATCCTTGTCACCCTGTAGTTCTGTTTTACATAGTCTTTAAGTTGGATGATGCGATTTGATGATRGTCTAATCTCAACCGCAAAATATACATTTCAAAAGTAATCCCAATGTTAAATGTTTAATAACATCGATCTCGTTAATTCATGCCATACTCATGTATCAAGCATTGTATTGTTCTGTGTCTCTGACGCTGTGTTTTACTCCGAGTATCAAACACACACAAGAATTCCGACTTCGCAAATATTTGAGACATTGACGATCGAGGTCTGGGGGAGATGATCTCACGGAGTATTGACGATGTTATTCGATAGTCTCAACTGCAGCTAAAAGGCAAGAAAAAAAAAGGGAAAAATAATCGTCGTTTATTTCATGATCTAACAGCTATAACTCATCGGGAAATACTTCTGACGCATACTTAATTTATTTCAGGTGCTTTTAGTCAAAGAAGATGGTGGTATGGACATATCTTTGTTTTGTTTGTCTGATTCTCCGTGATGTTTTTCTAACAAGTAAGTGGGATATATAGTGTGTGTATTTCTACTATCCAATATTATCGCATATTATACCATCTTAAAGCGTTTCTTTTCCACGATAAAAAAGGTATACATATTTAACACGGTTCATCATCGAAACATTTACTGAATCCGCTAGAAACGAAAAGATGCACCTTGCATCATTGTCAAGGCGTTGACTACATATTATCTTTCCTTTACGATAAAACATTATTGCTATATGCTAAGAATTAACGAAGAAATTGATGCTTTTGATGAAGCTTAACCGCAAACTGTAAAAATCAAGACAGAAATAGAGCTCTGAGACGTGGTACCGTATAATGTGCTTATGAATAATGCTATGAATTTTGTAAATCKTACGTTATGTTTGCACTAATATGGCTGACATATATGGAAAACTTTTCGTCCAAATTATTACACTCTTATATATGCTCTGATGTGATTGCTTTGGTTTCAACCAGTTCATGATTTCAAAGTATCAGTTTTTTTCTTTCTGTTTCGCGATGACAAAATAGGCAAATATGAAAGCCAAGATATTAAGTATTGTTTAAAAGATCAATAGTTTATCTTTAACACAACTACGAATGAAAAGTTCATATACCGATGATTCCACAGTGCGTAGCTTGCTGGTTAATAATGATCAATCTATTGCATAATCTGCTAATAAACCGCCATGCTGAAGATTTGAATATACTTCTTGGGTTGAGTGTTATTTCCATTTCAATGCTTCGTATCGTAGTCTTTTAGTGAGCCTCTGAACAGTTAAAAGGAAGATTTCTCATCATGCATTTTCAATATCTAATAATGACTAGATGGATCCTAACGGCACATTACGTACGCTTCCATGACTACATAAAGATGGTCGAAAAAAGCCATTTAATTCATGCAGAAACATTTCGATAWATATCAGAGGAGTAAAATGCTGTCTGAATTCAAATTAATTTTCAGTAAAAATATCCACTCATTTTACTTAAATTTCACAGTAGACCAAGTAGGAGCGTTGGTGCTGTTGATGCTACATCAAATTGTAAAAACTTTTTCTCTTAATATTTTGAATTCAAAGAAGTACACATWTCCTCAAGCAATGTCACTAGCACTTGCTATTTGATTTGAATATGGCTGTAATCGTGATTATCGTTACATAGTTGCCAACATGGATAAATGCACAATGCTACAAASAAACTGGTGTTCAGATGAAGCAATTTTGCTAGTGAGAATTGTTTTGATGTTTAGATAAAGTCTTGTGTAGCTGAAGCAGATCGACTATTCAAAAAAAAAGTAGTTCGCTAGTTAGCGGTACTAATGCTAGCCCAAACCTCCTACCGCGCTGCCGCAAGCACTCTATGCATTGTTTTTCTTTTCTTTCCAGAAGCTGCTAATCCTAGCCCCGAACAAACACTGATTCGAGAACTACTGACCGGTTACAACCCTAACGGGAGACCTGTGCTTCTCTACAATAAAACTATCAAAGTGAAGTTTGGACTGGAAATCGTACAGATAATTGATGTGGTAAGTGACTCATGAGAGATGAATAATAGAATGTAATATCTCACCATTCCTTTCTTTATAGGACACTCGGTACCAGACCATCAAAACAAATGTATGGATACGGCAGGTAGGAATAAACCAGATTTTCTTCACATTTTTGCACCGAAAAAGTACTTATACATACGTYACTTTTTGATCATTTCAAGCGATGGAAGAACGATATACTTAATTGGAACACAACAGGATACCAAGGCTTAARGACAATCACACTAGAACCCTACTCAATATGGACGCCAGATATCGTACTATACAACAGGTCAGTCCAATTAAGAAAATGTTCTCGATAAGAGCGCAAACTGATTACATTTATTAGCGGGATATAAACAGTAAAAGTAATATTAGAAAGGAAGTGATTTACCTACTATCAGCAATCATTTAAAGTAATTGACATCACAATGAAGCGCAGCTTTTGATTGACTGGTCCAATGATTGAACGTYGATCGATTCACTGATCGACTGTTAAATTGTTGATTGATCGTTCGACTGGTTGGCTAATCGAATGATTGATCGATTCAGTAGCTCATTTATGGTATTAATGAATGTATTTCAGTGGTGATAGCAAGTCTAAGAGTGGAGTAGAAAAGTTCAAGACACGTGTTATCGTAAACCACGATGGTTCAGTGGCCTGGTTCAGCCCTGCTTTATACATAACAACATGCTCCATGGACATCACGTACTTCCCTTTTGATCAACAAACCTGCACAATGAAATTCGGCTCTTGGACTTTCATGGAGACTCAAGTAGACATCTTTCCWTCAAATGAACCAATATTCAGTGAYAAATACATACCAAGCACAGAATGGCACGTAGTGTCGGCATGGAAACAAAGAAAAACTGCAAACTACACATGTTGCGAGAAACCGCTGTCTTTTCTTGAGTTCGAAATGATGATTCGCCGTCGACCTCTTTTTTACGCGTTCAATTTRATTACACCKTGTTTTATATTCTTGAGCGTCGTTTTGTTAGGTTTYTGTCTCCCTCCRGAATCTCGTGAACGCATCACATTAAACATCACTGTACTTCTTGCAATGGCCGTGTTCATGCAGTTGATGGCCAARTCTCTTCCACGAAATGCCGACACTACACCTCTCCTAGGCAGGTTTTAYATCACAATCATGACCGAGATTGCGTTGTCTTTGATAGCAACGTGTTTTATCTTAAATATCTACCATGGCCACTTTGGTGCCGTTCCCACATGGGTGGAAGTAGTGGTTCTCCATTGGTTAGGCGCTGTCCTATGTGTTCGTCGTCCGCGCACCGATTTGATGCTTGGAAAAAAAGATTTGGAACTCGAAAAGATGAACCTCGTTTTGAACGYAAACCATAAGCAGACCGAAAGTGGAAGTGACATCACTATACCAATAATGAATGGGCATGTTCAGGGTTCTYCCGCCGCTGGACAGAARTTTACGACAAAAATCATGTACAACGATGGACTRCCGCTGACCACATTCCTGAAAAATCGAAGTGCGTCGATGAGTCGGTCTCACGACTCTTCGACAAGCGTCATGGGACTGGTATCGACATTTCGAGAATCGAAACGACGACGAGAACGACGAAGACTGAAATGGAAACACGTCGCAATGGTGGTAGATCGTTTGATTTTCTGCATCGTTGTTGTTACAACAGTCATATCAATCTCGGCCGTGTTTAGAGAGAGAATACGYCAGTCTTTTGGYGAAGAGTACAAGTCTTGACACAGCCGACAACTGACGATAAAGAGATCAACAAAACAAAATCTTTTTTACGATAAAGTRGCAGCTGTCGATTCAATCACTGTTGCTTTATTGTCAAAGTTATACGAGGGAAGATACTGCGCTAAGCAAACTGACAAAGTCAASCAGTCACCAGGTATTTTGATCCTCGCTCACTACGATAAAATGACAGTAATACTCTTTGTTTTATCTCAACAAAATTTGCAAGTTGCTTGGACTTCCTCTCTTTGAAAACATCATAGATATTTATTTTTCTATAAAGTTGTAGAGGAAGAAAAGAGGTCATTAAGTAGTTTCATGTTTGGACCTCCTGTGTCTACAAAATGAGGGGTAATGGTGAAGACAATAGTTGAGTTCCAGGCCCCTCTCAGACGCAGGATATAGTAATTTATCGTCATCGTCTCGATAGTTTCTTGAAAAGAGTAAAATTGTAGATTAATTGTAATAAGCAGAGTTTAATGTGTATCAAGTGTTTAACTTTGTATCCAAAATGTTATATAGGATAAAGTTGAGATTTTCATAAAATTAGAATAAAACAACTTCTGCATGAAAAGCAATCCAATTAAAACAGAAAGTAGAGCGTTTTGGCTGATCTCCGCGGTAGGCAAAACATCGATGCAAGCAGATAGTGTCCTACTGAAAATAGGCAAACCGCCACTTTTAAACCTCTCTTCGCTTTGTAGTAATCAATTGTAATTGATGTATGATAATAAGAAAATATACGCGTATCATAACGCTAATAACATTGATAGTTAATACAGTAATACTAAYAACAAAAATAATAATCATTGTAGTGAGAATAAAATGACATTTCTATCTAATAATCGTTGGTGATAATTTTACAAACATAACGCATTGGTTTTACATAGTTACAATGAAGATTTCTTTAAGAACCTTAAACAACTATTGCGGTCAATGATGATTACTGAGAAGCGCTGTTGTTTAGATCTGTTGATAATCTACGTATTTCATTGACTCATACTCCCTTCTATCTTCTTATCATCGCACCCGTCCATTTTAATTAAGAAAATATAATACATCGCTAATCATGTGATCTTTTGTCGCTATATCCCGGATTATCTATCCATTATTCCTTCTTTCCACATTTATAGCACTGGCTGTCACTCAAAAGATTACTAAAATAGAAACCTATGATATCCAATACTTCCTTGCGTCACTCCCTGTCGGATCGATGCGTTTAGCGCAAACATAAATCCCTTTCTTGCCACAGGGTTTTTCAAGTTGCCTCTMTGTTTTGGAAAATTAATCTGCAGAACCATTCATGTACGCCGAAAAGGCCGCAGGAATCATGAGTCATTGCCAATCATGTCGACATCTCAGAAACTTAGCTGAGGAACTGAGGTTCATAGTAAAGTTGCTTTTTTTTATAATACCTCCCGATGGAGTCAATATTTTCTTTGGAAGGAATATTGTACGTGACTTTCAACCACCACCATTTTTAGGCGACCACTTTGTCAGCCAGTGGTTAGTGATGGGAGAGCTGTTATCTCGGTTTGATTTGCCGCGCTTGGTTTTAATTGGCTCTTGGATGCGTTCTCGGCAGAGTGTCACTAACCATAAGTAGCGTGGTATTTTCATTTTTTAAGTTGTTTAGTTGCCCGCGCGTCGGTAATTTTGACTCGGCACAAAGCATAAAGTCAAAAAATCAAATTAAAAAGCCATCAGTTTTCAAAACAAATCTTGTGTGTGGGGTGCAGAAGAATCTCGTCGCTCAAGATCCAGTAAGTACGATGGCTTTCACCAGCAATTTTCAATTCAATTGTATTTGTATGGTTATGAAGAGTATAACGCCTGTATGGCGGCTGACAGTGGGGTTGTTAAATCCTATTTCAAATGGATTACAATTTACAATAGTTCTGATTATTTGCATAAGGGTTTTATCAATATTGAAAATATGGATTTTCAATCCAAAACAGGCTTTAATTCAACCCAAAACGCACGTCATTTTTTTCATTTTCTGTTTCATTTCATTCCCATTCGCAATGAACATTTTCTTAGACTCTTCGTCTGTCATAATGTTTTTCTTATCATTGCTTTTTCGTTAAAAGACTTCGATGTTTTTACGTTCATGAAAAGTGTTATCTTGGCACCTTCCTAGTGTAAACCGATATTCAGTCTATACTTCACTCTCAATATCTCTCTACATCATGTTAAAATGATTATATCAGCTGTGAAGACAGCAAACCCTACTTTAACCACGCATAAGTCTTTTTGGCGTTTATTTTTGAAGCGGCCGACGCAAACTGATTGAAATGAGTGTTTGTCTATTTGTCGAACTGAATTCTCATCCTAATAAAATGTAGAAACACTTCAAGCTTTTTTTTCATATCAGTATCAACTTCATTCATCGATTCTGAACTAATTACAGTAAACTATAATATATAATATTACATCACTTTCTATATCAAATTATGTGGTATCGATCGAGGACCCGTGGGAATCCTGGSATTTTTCAAAATATCAACATTAGTACTTGAGCTTTGGCCTGCTTTTTATCCGTGAAATAGTTTACTAATGGAATTGHGGAARTTGGTACAAAATCCCTTGCTTTCTATGTTTATAGTATGAAATTTTGTGGACTTTCTTAGCTATTTTCTTACGTACATAATGAGCGAGTTAACACAATACACAAGCATTGTAGTTCTGAAGGGTCAACACTGATAGAAAAAGGTGTATAGATAGCCARACATARCTTACAAACTTGTTTGTTCATCACGCAAAGGTGATGATGYTTATTGTGTACTGACCTGGACTTAAGGTCTGCTGTAAGGTCCAAGCCGTGGTTTACCCCCTCAATATTTTCACTAGAATTGGTCATCAGTTGTTTCCGCCAGGTTTTTGGTACGTGCGTAAGTTGTACAAAATTATGAATTCAAAACTACAATACACCTATCTTCCCCTGCGATAATTATCCTGAGCGCAAAACTTTTAATTACTGTATACTTAGAGTAAGTTTCAATAGCGACCTCCCTTAACAACCATGTAATCATCCGGGTACCCATTGGATCCGTTTCGCCAAAATATCCGCSGTGAGTCATGGCACTTTGCTCGCGCGCCTRCATYACGATAACAGTGTTTACAAAAAGACACAATCAAACTACGTTGTTAAAATAACAGTCRTATCAAGTAAAACAAAAAACAAAGTTTTCCGGTAGCATGGATRGCAAAACAAAAATACCCAACTAATTACTTGAAATACTAAAAGAGGCCGAACAGCTCATTATTTTGGAAACCGCCAGTAGTGATGTATGGCGTCACAAGAGCCAATTAGGCTGATTATTTGGAATGGAGAGCCAGTATTTTTAGCCCTGTTAACCGACGAGAACGTTAATTTCTAATGAATGATAATAATTGCCGGTTGACCAAACTCAAGACTTGATGCGGGACAAGTTTCRATAACAAATCTATGTTCTGTCAATGAAGTATAGTTATTATACTTAAAATAGAATACTACTTTAATATTTTTAATTTTATTGTATTATTTTTGATTATTACAAATAATAAGAGAAGAAATGACAAAAATTATGCTAACTTAAACAATAATGATCATAATTCATTACTGATTAACATTGAATTATGAGCTTATTTAAGAACTAAAAATACCTTACATGAACAAATATCACAGAACAGGAAATATAAAATACCACTTTTTAATTTGTGTACAAAGTACGACTGCAAAGGATTCTGGTCTAGATAGAATATTGGCATTAGTTCAATTACTTTCCATGACTTTCCTAAATTCCAATTATAACTGATTAGATATTAACAAACCTGCATGAATATTGGCTTCATAACAAAAAATAACAGACATATATTTCGGCGACGTGACGTACAGACCGTTATATAGGGTGTAAAATAGTATACAACTGGACCAAATGAGGTTCGTACAAGTCGTGGAATAMGCTCTCATGTAAATGACGACCTTGATAGTATAAGGAAATGAATGGCTCCCGATGTCATTGTTAACGATAGATATTTTGACATGTACACCAAAGGAAACCAAAGCCAATTGCTTCGTTATCCTGGGTATGTAAGCTCATGTTAATTGAAAAAACCACTGCAAATAGGCTGAACGTAAATACACCAAGAGTCGAGTATAAATTGGACGACAGTTCACGATAAAATACCCATCCTCAAGATTATAGRAAGAAAGGACYTTGTTACTTCGACAGTTGCGAAAAACATTGATGGTGATTTATAACTACTTGGTGAGTAAAACACTTTACTGTAAAAATATCACGAAAACGCTTTAAAATCACGCTATTCCCAAACGAACGAATTCAGTCGCATTTCATGGGGAGAAGGAACGTTGAAAATCGATGGCTGAGAAAGAGACAGAGCACTAAATTGAAACTGATATAAAAGCGGTGAATATAGTAGCATTCCTAAGTCGAGAAATTCACAAATATTGGCAAGAATCCATGCACAATACGAACTAAACGTTTGAACGAGAGCCTTCAGGCGCTTTGGCAATATATATCATGCACGGTGCTTAACGAATGACATTAGCTTTCCAATAAAAATGTACCAATATTCGACATGACAGATATGACTTTGAGGTGTTTTCCGATCAATTCCATATTGGAATTTATAACAGCCATCTGGAAACCATTGAAATCACGTCGCTCAGTTCTTTTAGTTCTTCTTGACTTACTATTTTCAAACATTACATGTATATTTAAAATATCACGTGGATGGTGAATTGAAAACACATTTATATTTTGCACTTTAGGGAGTAAAACATCATTGGCACGATATCTCCACAAAATAGCACAGGTTCCAAAATTTCACAAACAACACAAAAGTATATATATCCCCTGTAGAACATTGGCATTGCGTAATAATAGACACACTTGAAAAAGAGCTTGATATTTAGATGAAATAAAGTACAACAACACTGTACTCTTAAAAATCATATATAGATTAACTAATCAATGTAATGATTGCATTTCTTCAAGTCAACACGGCTCTTATATTTCAAAAAAAGAAAGTCCGGCAATTGAAATTGTCACAGGAATTTTCATATGTACTTCTAATCGAGAAAAATCAATTTTGACATCACAATTGTCAAAAGTGTTCAATTATTTCCTAATTACATTCCTTTAGTATACAATTTTTAAACCTGCACAACCTAGAAAGTTCCACAAATTTCTTATCCTCAAATCATAGAAATGTTTTAGTTCTCCTGATGATTAAAATAATTTTTACTTGCAGCAGTGCATGGCTAGCAGGAATACCCTAGTTCAGTGGCATGAAGCTTTATCCTAAGAACAATTTTGTCAAAAATCCCCTTTAGCCAGTAGTCGTCGCGGTTCTTGATAAGCTTCTTTTTACAGATTCTTCTTATCTTAATTTAATGGTTTTAAAGTGATTGCTTGAAACACTTAAAACACTTACGCGGAGATAGAGTTAGGTTTTGCTTTCGAAAACCACACAGTAGACTTAGTCACTACGTACTTGTTTGTAAGCCGTCTATCAGTGTGAGGTAGAAATAATACCAATGATAAACTTTGTTTACAAACTGCTTTGAACCTATCTTCTCAGTATAGGTTATTATACGTACAATTGTCTCATCAACAAAACGACTAAATCTAAACAAAATGAAGAAGTTTTTTTTCTAATAAGACGACTTACATCACTGCTACGCTGCTCGCTTTAAACGATATAACGTCAGTCATTTCCAAAAATGTTGAGCAAGGAAAATCTCCTTTCGTCGATCACTCTTAATGCTAAAGATAATACATCTAATCCTTTTTGGATGCGATAGCTTTAGGAATTGAGCTGTTTTTGATTAAACATAGTGTGGCATTAGGATAAGACCAGACAATAAAATACTCGAATCGCTTTCTTTCTACGTAGTACTATAGTGCATCATATCAATGACATCATCGAGACGATCATGATGCTATCTAACATCGACATTGGAATTGTTTTGGTATGTCTATCATGTTAAACAAAATAAACTTTTGAAAAATGGAGAGAAAGATAACATGAAAGGATGGATGGAAACTGGGAAAGAAAAAAAGAAAATACGGACGATAAAATCATACACAAAAACAACCGTAATCTGTACACAGCTCAAAAACGATGAAAAAAGCCGGAGAAGCCCCATCCACCCCACCCAAGCCACCATCCATCTCACCTAAAAACAGCCCCTTCGTGTTAGTTCTATTTTCTGTAAGAGTCCGCTAACCTTGACGGTACAATTTGCGAGCAAAAGATGGCGTTATTTTGACTTGTATTTTAAATCGGTCTAGACCTCGGCGGAGAACACTCGAGTCATACAAATCAAATCATTTGAATTTCGAAAGCTGTTTCATTGGATTGGTGAAGAATGACAATTAAAGGCTTCCAATCCCTGGCGTCATTTATGTTTGATAGGCTTGATATAATTGCAATGTGTTTAGCGCTTTAACGTGCCACTGATCGATAAGGTTGAACCGCAGAAGAGAGTGACATTGATTTGCCAGCAATGGAGTTGATTGTTCCAGATGTAAAATACCAACATCAAACATGTTACTAATATTGTGGTGATGGTGCGCTTTTCATTCTGCATCTAGTGTATCTTTGTTTGATCATAAGGTAGGAGATTCTCTAGACTTTACCATCAATGCATATCATACATTTGAACCCGAGACCGTTTGCTAGYCGGACCTATCAATTGGAGAGACTGATATCATACAAGCCAGTTCCATTCGGCGTTGCAATTGATATACTTTTTGATATTCAACTTGCCGTCCAAATTAAGATTAAATTATTTAATACTTACAACTATCGACTATTCTTCAAGTGTCTGTTTATCAACTCACTCTAGAGAAAGTCAACTCTCCGCCATAATTCAGCCACGTTCAATTTTTGGCGCGAACTGAATTGATGAGAAAGACTCTATGTGTTGCCCGACTTCGAACATCTATTAGAAAGAGCTCAATTTTATAAAAAATGTTTTCTTTATACAATATCCTTGTTRAAAGGTTAGCAAAGGCTCTTTACTGAGTYCTAAATGATGTCAAGTTGATAGGAATCTCTTAGCTTGGTGGCTATGAAACGTGTCAAGATAGAATCTCACTGGTAATAGAATCGCTATACACTGCTTATTAGATAAGAAATTGCAATTTTATTTGCGATTTGAACATCCTATTCGCTCTACTACATTAAGGTAAGAGACTAAATCGRATAAAATATTCTGAAATARCAAAATTTCCATTTGCTTGCCACATCAAAGCGATCAAGTTCCTTTTCACAACACCAGTCACATTTTTCCACAATTCTTCCTCGAATTTTTTCCGAGGTAAAGAAAATTCTAGTTGTTGTGAAAGTGTTTGATGGAAATGCTTTCCTCGCTCACAATACTCTTTAATCATTAAATATTCACCTTGAAACTGCGTTGATCATGAGGTTTTGGCGAACACAAATCATCTGTTTAATTTTTTTCCACTTGKTAAACACTGCCTCTACGTAACATCAGCATTACATTTCCTTATTTCAAGCGACATATGTTGATACAACCTCCATTTTTGCTTCAGAATCTACTGAAACCATTTTAAACATTGCAGACAATACATTTCATACATTAGACAGACGAAGCATTCAATCTGATACTACCTATAGGTTCCTCAATACTTTACACTATATTTAGAGCCATTAAAGAAAWGTCGTATAACGCATAATGACCAGTTTCGTTTTTCCTTTTATGTTTGTCACGTGACTGGGTTGTTTTAATTTCCGGTGCACATCGTAAGATGATAGTCAARTACCAACCTAGATCTTTAAAAGGCTATAAGTGTTTGCCATTAATGTTTATAATTTCTAACATGGTATTTATTGATATAAAAAAGGTTCAATTGACTATCATATTTAGAGGCAATTTATATGCACGTTGGTTCGTTTTAGTGAAAAAAAAAAAGATCTTTCGATGCATACCAGTCCCTCTCCATTGCATGTAGTGTTGTTGGAGTGACAGTTTTACAGTCTTTAGAAAAACAGTGATGATTCTTAGAGCAGCATGCAAATCATTGGATGAAATTGCAAGGACAGTAATAACAATAAATAATAATTATGATGCTGATACTATTAGATAATGATGATTAATGATGACGATAATTCCAGCTTGATAATGAACTGAATTTCATAGTTTCAACCTATTGCATTATTTAATATATTTACGTGGCCAAAATTACGCTACAATCATCATAATAATCTATTACAGTAAGCTTATATGTTTGTTGTATGTGGGACTAAAATAAAAATACAGTAAAAAGGTTAATAATCACATTAGATCTTGCGTGGGGCTAATGTGGGCGTTTCCCACCAAGTTTTAACAGCATTCAGTAAAGCAACAGTTCATCGATTTAATAAAACTCTCTGAATTAAAAGAAATGACTAGAGCTACAGCTGTTTTTTGCAACGAACAGAAAATGAGTTTGAAAAAACCCTTATATCCACGAGTACTGAATTTCTTTTAAGCCAACACAAGAGGAGAAACGTAAATTGAATTATCCAGATATGAATAATGCAATACGTAAGAACATGTACGACTGCAAAATGTATTTTTATCAACAGGAGAGCTGCTCATTCTGTGTGATGACGTCACAAACATGGCGGCTTAGAACGATAGAAGTCATGATTCACACCCTTCCGCTCAATTTTTATAACTTTGGACTTCTCTTTYAAGGATTTTGTTTTGGCGAAAGAACTAATGAATATGATTAACGCTTTATCTAAGGTTTTMAAAAGGATTTTGAAGGTTGTAAGTCGTAGTTTTACAGTGTAATTTGAACGAGTTAATTATTAATAGGCGTTGAGCGGATGAACAAAGACTCTAAGATTTAAGCTTGGATTGTATTCAAATATTTAGCAGTACGTGTGAATAACAACAAAAGAAATGCTGATAATACGTAATAAAGCAACTGAGCTTTAAGAGCTTTAAATTAAGTGTTTCATTTGAAGAGATATATACTTTTTATTAACCTATTAGATTGGGATTAACACTCGAGAAAAGCACTAATCGATTTTGTACTCAAAAGCTTGATCATTTCTAGATAATACTTTCATTTTTTTCATGTTCGGTTGTTGTTKTTTTTTTTGCGACAAATTTGTAGCCAGATTTGTACTATATTCTATCCCTTTTCTTCTCTTTTTTTGGTCGCACAGTGACCGATTTACCATTTTAGTATATAATGACAGAATGTTATCAAGTAATATGGGAAAATGTTAGTTCCTATTGTTTCAAAGGGTATTGTATTTTTAAAGGATCTACTTCGACACTTAATAACATACAATTCCAACACATTATCCTCGGTTATTTCTCATTTATTAAAGTGCAGCTCATGCAAAATTCACAAGCTTAACTGCTTCACAAATACTCCGACTTGTAAAAGAAATGATTTAATACATTAAAACGAGCATAGTAAAGGTTTAGATTTTAATAGCGAGMCAAGTTAACAAAGAGGCTAACGACTTTATAGCCTGCAACTTATTCATCATTTCCCGCAAAACAGGTTTGCAAACAAGTACAACTGGTTTGTTTGGGCTTATGTCGTGGTGGGATACCATAATATGACGTCATTTTTTGATAAGGGCTTTTAGTTTACCCTAGCATTGAATGAATCGGTTTTTTCGTCGTCTTTCAGGTTTCAGTAAGATGTCCAACTGGTATTCCTTTGGATTTGTTTTCCTCGTCGTTTCTATTTTTAATGAGTTCTGTAGTTTAGAAGGTAAGTGTAACAAAAGACTCTTTTCCTGTATATTAATAAGGGATGTTGTTGCGACGAACGTCTATGCTTGAAAATGTTGACATTTTGTACCTTGTCAARTAAAACATCCACATTGTAGTAAAGCAAAAACAATAAGGATTGTGTTTTGCATGTCAAAAGAAAGAAAAACGCAAAACCCTCACTTCTTGATCTCAATCCTTCCTTCACTAGATAAAAACCGCGTCCTTGAGACGCAGTTCAGCCATAGACTCGAAATTAAAAGGGATTCTATATTGTGGTCAGAATAAAACAGATCTATATCTCCTGAATATTACGTACATTATTGAAAGATTCAAGATTGGCTGTTCCATTGGTCGTTGTATATTATTTTCGATACCATCGCTCCTTGGTTAATAAGTTCACCTTGAGTTGGGAACATACATCCACATGGCCTAACTTCAAAAATGCACCTAATTCTTCTAAAAACATCATATATTCATTTTTCAATTCTCATATGACATGGGAAAAAGCTACAGTCCATTGAAAATGATTATATTACAAGACACAGTTAGCTTTTTAGTGAATACATAAGGTATATATAATTAGCATGATAAAACATTCACCCTCGAGCAAAAACATCAACCATAACATCGCCCAAACCTTTTTGGACTCAATTTTTTTTAAATACATCAAAAAACTGAAAGATCTTTGTACAGTTTGGCCTATTTTAACACGCAAATCTACATGTGCATTCAATTCATGAGGTAATAGTGAGAAAAACTGAAGAGAATGGTAGTCATTACCAATAAAATTCGGCGTCATGTTCAACCATTTCCCATACATCTTCACATTTCAAAATTTCGTTCCCTCTGGGTGATACAAGACAGCTTGTTCTTGAGCTACTGTAAAGTCAAATTAACATTCGACTTTACGTATTACATAACCGTTTTTTGATCTTATTTTGTATATACGATGTTTTGTTGGTTATTCCTTSGCTCAAGTATTCGGTTGTTTCCCGTTTAAAAATTCCTCAATTTTTTTTTTATCTAAGAGTAAAAGTGAGCTAAGCTTAAAGCTCTAAAGTAACGGAAGAGATCAAAGCACAACCCCCACTAGGGATCCACTCYATRTTCCTAGTAGAGTTATGTCGAGTAGTCCTCTTATACCGAGTTATTACTCAAGAAATTTGAGTTTATTTGCACAGTTTTTCATGACGCAAAACCAATATCTTTTCTTTCATAGCTAATAAACTKCAAAGTCCAGAAGAAAAAGTTATTAATTTCATATTAGAGAACTACCGTCAAGAGGCGCGTCCTGTTATTAACCCAAATAGTACCGTCAGCGTCGAGTTTGGACTCGAACTCGTACAACTCGTTAACGTGGTAAGAAATGCTATCGTTTTGACTGGTACAAGTGGAACATCAACAACCTGCTATGGCTGATATAAATCCAATATGGCTGCTCCATATGTCAGCGACGAGAAACTAATTCTTTTTTTCTTTTTTTAGAATGACAGACATCAAATGATTACAACTAATGTATGGGTTCGACAGGTAAAATAACGCTATCAGGACAAACGTACTTCCCTTTTGCTATTGACAAACCTTTCTACATWAACTAATACTACAAAATATTTGATCAAAATGGTATGAAGATAGATATGAATATATGATTATGCCATGGTCTAATTTGGGAATGAATTGCCTCAGGGCTTGTCCATGCTGTGTTTTCACTCAGAGAACGGAAAAYTACACACAAAAAACTTACAATACAACATTGCATTGCCATTAAATTTGCCATATATCCTTATTTGCAATTCTGTTTTACTAGAAATGGGAAAACCAACTTCTTACTTGGGACCCTGACAAATACAACGGTATAAGACAAGTTCGACTGGATGCCAGTAAAGTATGGATCCCGGATATWGTRCTCTACAACAGGTAACCCAAAATGTAAAATCATGTTTTAAGTGGACTTCAACCCTCCTCCACAATCTTTCTCATTTTATCATGAACCGGATATCCGCTCTCGCCAGTCTTCGATCGAGACCAAACAACACAGGAAGTCCAAAGTAATGAATAGTGCTGCCTTTAGAGAAGACCCATTACCCCCCCAGGAAGTCCAAAGTAATGAATAGTGCTGCCTTCAGAGAAGACCCATTACCCCCCCCCCCTTCGTTTGTATCAGAATAGAGTAAACAAGAGAACTAATGCGGTACAATGAAGAGAATTTACCTCGTTGCTACACTGCCTTGTTGTCAATGTTATATCACAAGCCTGTTGTAAACTACATTGCATATTGTTTATGGTGTGTTCTACCTTGTTATTACGTTATGAAATTTTCTCGCGCCTATTGCTCTTTATTTATCTTCACTTTCTAGTGCTGGAAGTGARTTCAGCGGTGGAACAGAGAAGTACAAGACACCTGTYATTGTGAATTTCGATGGAACCAACAATTGGTTTAGTCCAGCATCGTTTACAAGTACMTGTAAAATAGACGTCACCTTCTTTCCCTTTGATAGTCAGACATGCTCAATGAAGTTTGGCTCCTGGACCTACGAGGTAAGGAAAAAAAATCTTTATTAAATGGTCTGGAGGTGAGAAATTGAAGTAATATGTTTTGTCGGCCTTCAAGTACAACAGCAAAAAAAAAAACATAAAACAAAAACGAAAAAAAAAAACAAAAAAAAAACAAGAAACACCAAACTATACAGAAACCGTCAATTCTTTTACTTTTGCCCACTTAAAAATTTTTACGGAACAAGAAAAAAAAAGGGGAAAGTCAGAATAAAGAAAAAAAAATGAGGAGAGATATAAAACACACGACCGTGCTGGGACTCGAACCCTAGACCATAAAATCGAAAAAAGGTTGGGACGATTCCCCCGAGACATTCTGTGAAGCTGAGGCGGCGAATCGATTTACATTCCGGTTAGAGATTTCGGCTCTTCCATGCTATCCCGATAATTGGTCCTAACTTCGCGCTAACTAAAAAAGCCAGTGAGGGAGAAGCTATCCGGCCCCTAGACACTGATGGATAACCCCTTGCACTAACTAGGCAACTATCGAAAGTATAATGTCAAATTGGGGTAGTCTATTCGGTGAAAGTGTCAAGTGKTCTATTATTATGTAAATGAGCGTGGTTCAGTGGCGCACCGCGTTAAGGCGAGGGTTTTTGAATCGACGGCAAACGKGTTCGAATCTGAAATGGATTACTTTTTTATTTATCTTTATATTTTTTTCTTGAAGTTTAAAGCATTTTTTTCATCATTTTGATTTSGGTTTGCTTATCCGGATGAGTTAACTGATCAAAATTAAAGCTTTCTTTATTTAATTTTCAATCTACTGACTTTAAATATATGTTGGCAGTTTAAATAAATGATATTCATTAAGATAGACAATATACAGATATCAATCAATGATATTTTGTTGCATATCTGTGTAGATTAACGATCTGGATATGACGCCAGAAAACGCTTCCATGACATCAATGTACACAGAAAGCGCCGAATGGGATCTAAAAATTGCCTTTAAGAGACGTCAAGCAAAGAAATACCCATGCTGTACCAACGAATTAGTCGACATCACAGCTTTCATCACTATCAAACGAAAACCTTTGTTTTATCTCTTTAACCTTGTTGTCCCATGCATGATAATCCTGTCCATGATCCTCCTGGGCTTCTTCCTACCCCCTGAATCYGGTGAACGTATTACCCTCAGTATTACAATTCTTCTAGCGATGGCTGTGTTYTTGCAACTGGTTGGAGAAAGTTTACCTCGAAACTCAGAGACAATACCGTTACTTGGCACATTTTACATCGCCATCATGGCGGAGATCTCAATATCCTTGATGTTGACTTGTTTTGTGTTGAACATTCATTATCGAGGAACTGGAAACTCAGCCCAAGAGGTCCCAGTCTGGGCCAAAATCATTGTCCTCGATTGGTTAGGCTATGTATTGTGTGTCAGGCGGTCCTTCAGAGAAGATCGTGATTCACAGCCATTGCGCACAGAGAAAAGATACGTGGATACGCGTAAAGGAGGGGCYGGATATTCTGTTTCATTGGCTTATGAATACGCGGACATGAACTTCGCGCCGTCAGCTAACTGTCATTGCAGTCGATGCTCGCACGCTCGTGGAGTCGTTTATGAGAACAGCGCTGACCGTAACCACGCACCGGATATCAAGTTTGTAGAAAATCGTTTTACAGGAGAAAACTCGCCCGTCGGATCACCAGGTTGGAAGCGACGTCCAGGAGAACCCAGCCTGACCGAGGAAATCAGCGTTCTTTCGAATAGCATCCGAGAACGAGAGAAGATGGAGAGACACCAAGAGGAATGGAAGTATTTTGCCATGGTTATGGATCGGATGTTCTTTTGGCTTTATTTTGCAACTATTATCATATCATCATTAACGATTATATTACGCAGACCGTGAAGTATTATGGGTACCTCTGGTCTCGAGGTCTGTTAGCGTTCATCGTGGAGTCTTTGGTCCTCTCCCTTAGAACCAAATCAGGGTGAAGAAAAAATCAGTTAATCAACAACAACAACGGTGCCATTAGCAACGGTTACCATCGCAACAGTTGCCAACCAAAGTTCATGGAAACGAAATGTTGTTTATCCGAGGAAATATCTGAAGTATATCGATTGGGAAACACTAAACTAGAGATCGGAGTGTAAAATATAATAATATGTATGCTGTCAAACAGTTGTAAGTAAGTGTTTATATTTATGATTAGCATTTTTGATACTGCATTGGTGCTAATCAAGGACGTATAGTATCATTGTTGAAAGGTAGTAACCTAAAAGATATTTGCTATTATAATGACATTTGAGTCACGTCGTTGGGTTACCTGTAGCTTAGGAGGACAGAGGAAAGCCTGGTTTGTGCAAAGTCGACTGCTATATTTCCGCTAGAAGTTTTGACTACYTTGRAAATCCAAACATTGCGGTAGTTCAGGTTTAAAGGAAAKGCTTATTTTTAGCAATTTAGTCAATAATGGTTGTGTTGTGGTGCAGGCTGAATGTCAATATTGCCAAGAATCCATAATTATAGAAGTTTCGTTTGTAAAAGACAATGKAAAGAATATTAAATTCAAAAATWATGAATAGTTAGTTTGAAAATATTCAGTCAAAAATGTTGTCYWMA